GGATGGACTAAGGGTATGTCTTCGCTACCCGCCACATTGGCGGGCAGTGATCAATCCAGCGGGGATCGATTTATCGCATCTAGTCTAGGCACGCTAAATCGACCCCTGAGAGCTCTCCCGTCGACTCCTGTACTCCAGCGCCACAAGAGGCGCAGGCAGAGTCGACAGGAGAGTGGCAGCAGTCGACTCACCGTAGCGAAGACACCACAGTGAGTCGGTCTAAGTACGTCGACTTCAGCTACATTATTCACATAGCTGAAGTCGCGTAACTTAGATTAATCTCCCCACACAGTGTAGACCAGGGCTTAGAGTATAAAATAGAGCACAGGGGCCCCATGCTTTGCCTTTGCTCCTCCCTACACCTATGCTGCAAGCAACAAGAACACTCCGAAGACTGAAGACTCCAACAGAGGAGACTGGCCCAGGTTTCAAAGGTGAAACCTGCGTACTATGATCTGCAATATCCAGTGGGGTGAGAAAAACTGTTTAATCTAGATGTTGCCAAGTCTAATGGGGTTGAGAGTTTAGACTGCATGCTTATATTTTCTTTTCTTTTGGTAGCCACTCTGACTTTTTGTAATCAATAAACTTGTTTTACTGTTTATCTTTATCAGTGAATTTGCCTGAAGCGTTTGGTAAATCTGCTCAGGTTCACAAAGGCTGGTGTATATCCACCTTCCATTGATTAAGTGGTGAACCAATTAGTGAACTGCTTGTCTTGAGCAGTGCAAGATAGTATATTCCTGAGGTACAAGGCTGGGAGCTGCGGAGATTCGGCTGGTGCCTTTCTCTGTGTGATTCATGAGCGGCTCTGGGAGCATTCATGCAATCTAGCTGGGTGTGGAGCTCCACGTGCAGTTGTGCTGAGTGGTAACAGCGCCTGGAGGGGTTTGCTGCTTGTAACTAGCAAGGCATTGTGAGAGACAACCCCAGGGTGGAAAGTTAAGGGGGCACAGCGGTCCCACAGTCCCAGCTGCACCTCTGGAATCCCGTCACAGATGATGCCTGAGAAAACTGTTTAGCACTAAGTCACGTATTACAAGTTGTTTGTTAGTTTTTCTAAAAGAACACTGAATAATTAAATGGACAGACTATTTAATTTAACATACTTGCTTTTAAAGTCTATTTAAATGCTGAAATTATAGTATTCAATGAGTGTTTTATTACCTGGAGGCTGAACATCCTCTTGAACAATACCAGATCGATTTGTTGCCTGTTCCTTCCCTGGTAAACACAACAAACAGTAAAATCACACAGACAGAAACACCATATATTCTTACAGTAGCGAACAAAATGTTATGAATCAGAAAGGCAGCACAAAAAATCTGCATGTGATAGTCTGACACGCTGGTGAACAGCAGTCTGCTCAGCAAAAATATAATAAATCACACAGGATGAAAGCTTGCATCTCAGACCAACAAACAGCAAGACAATTTTTGGATATATAACCAAACCAAAAAGAGATAATGTGAAAGGATTAGTTTCTTTGATATAGTGTTTCTATAATATAGTGTCAGCTATTGCCAAAAGGTGATATTAGGGAACACAACACCTTAGTGACAGATAAAATGCAACACTGATGAGTGAAAAATAATGCACATTGGAAAAACTATACATACAAAATGATGTGATCTAAATTAGCTCAAGGAGTGATCTTGGAGTAATTGTGGATAGTTTTCTGAAAACATCCGTTCAATGTGCAGCAGCAGTCAAAAAAGCTAATAGAATGTTAGACGCCACCAGAAAAGGGATAGATTATAAAACAGAAAATATCATAATGCCACTATGTAAATCCATGGTACACCCAAACTTTGAATACTGCCTGCAGATCTGGTCGTCCCATCTCACAAAAGATGTTAGAATTGTAAATGGTACAGAAAAGGGCAACAAAAATGATTAGGTGTATGGAACAACTTCCATACGAGGTGAGATTAAAAAAGACTGAAACTGTTCACCTTAGAAAAGAGACTACTAAAGTGAGAATATGATAGAGGTCTATAAAATCATGAATGGTGTGGAGAAAATGAATATGGAAGTGTTATTTACCCCTTCAATAACACAAGAACCAGGGGTCACCCAATGAAATTAATAGGCAGAGAGGTTTAAAACAAGAAGGAAGTACTTGTTCACACAACACACAGTCAACCTGTGGAACTCATTGCCATGGGATCTTGTGAAGTATAACTGCGTTAAAAAAAGAATCCAATATTCTCATGAAGGATGGGTCCATCAATGGCGGTTAGCCAAGATGACCTGGACACAACCCCATACTCCGAATGTCTCTAAACGTCCAAATGCCAGAAGCTGGGACTAGACAATGGGATGGATAACTCAATAATTGCCCTGTTTTGTTCACTCTCTCTGAAGCATCTGGCACTGGTCACTGTTGGAAGACAAGATACTAGCCTAGATGGAACATTGGTCTGACCTGGTATGGCCATTTTTACAAAATGGAAGAAGGGTGGTTAGAACATTTTGGGTGCTCTTATAATATGATATCATAATAATGTAACTTCTTATAGACGGGACTGGTCGCACTAAACATCTTCAAGTTTCCCTGACACTTCCCAATAGAAGAACCTGTTTGCAATAGCTTTTAACTTTAACCATTTGGGTTGAAAATTTCCCTGCCAGGAGTCTGCCTCAAGCTTTCCCCCGCTCTCCCCCGGGGAGGAGGGAGAGAGAGAGAGAGTAACTGTGACAGAATTGGAGGAGGAGACTGGCACTTGTTGGCCAAAGAGACTGGAAATTGGAGCTAATGAGACAGACCTTTGGAAGGAGCAGGCTGGGACTGGGAGCTGTGGGGCGGAGAGGGGAGGGAAATGTCACTAGTATCAGATGACGAGTTGGGAGATATACATTTTGATACAGTCTATCGACAAGGGGGAGTGAATTAAGATTGCACAGGCAACCTTAATACTGGAATTTCCAGACTTTTGGGTGCTTGACTTTGTAACCTTAATGATGTTCTTTTATCATAGTGTTTTGTGTGTAATTTATATTTAAACTGCATTATGAGGAGGAACAGGATACAGAGAAGAGTGATCAGTTTTTGATGGGAAATGGAACAGAAAGTGTATCTTGGTGGGAAGCTCCAGTCTGAGTAAGTGGAGCTTCCCTAACAGACTGTAGGTGCTTACCAATTAGCATGGCATTTAAACTGAAATAAAATGAAAGTCCCTCTGAGGTGGCCATAAAATTTGTTTCACTTTCTCTTTTACAATTCAAAAATATTTTCAAACTCTTTCAATAGATGAATCACAATAAAGTTTGTGTTAAAATGGAGATACAAATTATAAGAGATTAGCTCCTTTGTTCTCCATTATTAGTTGTCCCCCTTAAAAGCTTGATATAAAATTTCTGTGCAGAAATTTGATCTCCTGTATTTTTCAATTTTTTTTTTCTTTTCTGTTTCCATCTGAATTGTTTTATGGCTCTTTGTGCACAATGGAGCAACAATAAACTCTGGAATCAACTGAAAGTTAATTTATGCTCCCCCTGCTGGCTCTGCATCAGCAAAACACTAAACACTGACTCATCTAGGTCTTGCATAAAAAGCATTTGATTTTTAAAAATTTGTTTACAGAATACAACAGCAAGTTTAAAAATTTAAGAGCCAAAGAAACAGTAGATTAGAAAAGTACCATATTCTAGACAGTTAACCGTGAAAAACAAAGAAAAAAGAGAATATAGTTTAGACTAGCATTCAAGGCAATGTTCACGACGTTCTAGTCACTCAAGTTATCATGACTAGCGACTAAGGTAGCTCTTAAATTCACACTATATACAGGTTATATATGTGGTATACTTATGGGAAGCTTTATGCACCCCTTAAGCTGGAATGTTCTCTTCTGCTTCAATTCAAATTACTCTCTAAAACTCACTTCTTCTGCAATATTTATCAGAACTGAGGGGAAGGTAGAAAATATTTGTTTTAAAATACGAGTTTAAAAATGTGTTCATGCCTCACTGGTTCACATAACTGTATGCTCTTATTGTCATCATTGTCCTTTTCTTTCCCCTTCTCTTGATTCCCCCATACATTGTCACATCAAACTCAGACTCTTTTGGGATAGGTCCACATCCGTAATTGTTTCTGTGAGGGAACAGCACATTTTGGGAGCTTGAAAAAGTAATTACAACTCCATGGATGTGAGAGATTTAAGTAATGGGACATTAACTTGAAGTTTAGGCATCTTTTAAAATAAAGGCATTTTAGACCCTGGAGGTACTACAAGTGTTCCTGTGTCCTCCCGTGCCTTATTAATGTTCACAATAGAAAATGGAACACAGTGATACAGCCAGAATTCAAAATCTAGAGTTTCTGGATTCCAGCTGTGCTCAGGCCATCAGTCCATACTGCCTCCTATATTGTACATATACACACATATATTATGTAATGGATCATTGAAAAGCCTATTTTGGTGAGTTTCCAGTTGTTTAATATGATTTTATTTTCCACTGTAAAAGGTCTGCCTCAACTCCCTTTTCTATAACAATGGGATATTACAAGCAAATAATAAAGGAGGGATTATTCAAAAATATTTCTATAGCAAAGATTGGTCGTTTTATATGATGTGAAACAACAAGTAGTATACATTAGGAGCATTTATTCCCTAATCTGCAACAAGTTATCTTTATCTGAAATAGAGGGGAGAAATAGGGAAGAATAGTGAAAATATTAGCTTGTGTTAAGTGAGTTTGTTGCAAAAAATGTATTCCAGACACCAAGGGACGCTCTTGAAAGCAAACTAGCAAATGTTATGGATACAAAACCCATGCTCACTCTACAGTTTACAACATAAAAGTAAGGTGAAAAAACCCCACCATTCAACTGCTAAAGTCAGATGTCTTAAAGAACAGTTTTTCCAAGAAACCATTCAGTATGCAGCATGGACAGAGTTCTTTGGGGGTGATGATGCTAGAATGTCTTAGCACCATTAATCCTATCTCCATCATGATTCTTTTTTGTGGGGGAGGTGAGGGGGAAGGAGAGAAAGACTGTTAAGCCATTTTATTTTATACACAAAATAGCATGTCAAAGACTTGGTAAATTTAGCATTCCCAGTTATCCAAATTAGGCAGAGAATTATGTCCAGAAGTCTTCTTGTGACAGCTCATCTACTTAAGAAGTGTTTAGTCCAACTTGATGAAGCCGATGTCCTTGGCACACTGGCAGAAACACTGCCTGCACATGTTCAGCCTGCACTTGCGGATCAGGCCGTGGCGGTTCGAGCACAGGCAGCACGAGCGGCAGCCCTGGCTCCAGTAGAGCTGCTGGTGACCCATCCTGCCCGAACTGTCAAGCTAACTGAATACAGCCACAACCACCACCCATGGAACCTATCACCACGAAGCCTTTTCTTCAAAGCACTTCATTTGAAAGAAGAGAACTCCTCTCCTGGAGGTTTCTTGCTAAGTAGTTACTGAAAATATAGAACAGATGACAGCAGGGAGGTGTCACTTGTCTGGTTACGGACGTTTATTGTGGGAGGCAGTAATGGTGCTCTGTCAGGATATATATATAGGCTGGCTAAAAAAAAACAAGGAAAATCTGAATCCCTGAGACAGCCAAGAGGATGAGGGGAACACAGGAGGGGACCATGGGGGAAAATAACTCATGTGATCAGCAAAAACAAAAGGAGGACTTGTGGCACCTTAGAGACTAACCAATTTATTTGAGCATAAGCTTTCCTGAGCTACAGCTCACTTCATGGGATGCATGTGATCAGGAGGCTCAGGGAGGGACAACCCAAAGGGTAAATGAAGCGCTTGCTGTACGGCACAGAGAGGATATCGTGAGGGGCGAGAGGATGAGTCCTAGGGGTTACACAGGGAGGGGACCGGGGCGGGGCATGCCCGAAGGGGAGGTTGCTCACTGGGGCCCGGGGCATGCCCGGGAGGACAGGGGACACGCAGGTGGGCACCGGGCACCCTACAGGAGAAACGTCCGCGGGCTCAGCCGCGCAAGGCGAGGGGCACAGGCTGGAGGAAGGGACCGCCAGAGTGATGCACAGGAAGCGGCGGCGTACAGGGGAGGATCGGCAGAGGGGGGCGGGGACCACATCACCCGAGGCACTGCCCACCCCAGGGGGGATCACGTGAGGCTCGTTGGGGTGGGGGGGGTCCCGCACTCACTGTATTGCTCCACCTGCAGCAGCGGCCGGAAGTAGATGGGATAAAACGCCGCCCCCACCACGGCCACGAACCCGCCGAAGATGAGCAGCGTGCGGGAGATCCGCGCCATGGCCTGCAGAGGGCAGGGCGCAAACCTGCGCGCGATCAACACCTGCGCTCCCTACCTCCCCCCTCCCCCTTTGCACACTTCCGCTTCCGGGGCAAGTGCAGGGGCTGCTGGGAAGCAGCCTGGATCACGTGGGTGCTCCGGCCTGGGCGAGAGCTAAGCCACGCCCCCTCTCACAGGCGCCCGCTTCCCCGCTGTCACAGCGCGGCCTGCGCAGAGCGACCCGTTCTGCGTCCTCGAGCGCGCTCCGGAGGGCGGAGCCTGTCGCCTCACCTCAGTGCTCCGAGCCCCGGGAGGCGCCGGCTTGGGCGGGCCTCCCTGGCGGGGTCACGGCCGCGACCTTGGAAATCCCGCCGCCGTTGGTCACGAGCGTCCGCGAGCTCGGAGTATGCCGGGCTTTGGACAAGCACGTGGTCGAATGGCGGGCCTGGTACAAACGCCTCTCTGTGCGGACAGACAGACAGACTCAGGGGAAAGAGGGGTACACCCATGATTCCTGAGGGGTTTGGGTTGTAGGCGGCGGGGGGCGGGGTGTTACCTTTGTATAACTTCCTACGTCTGGAAAATACAATGTATAGTCCATTTATATCAGCCATAATCTCAGTACCCTTCATTTGCCACCTTTTTAGTCTCTCCTCAGTCCTCCACTGAGCATCTCATTGTCATTTAAAAGCCTCTGTTACACTCCATGCAGCCACAGTGCAATGTACTCCTGGGGGAAATTTGTGTCACTGCGCGTGCGCAGAATTCATGTTCTCTGCAGATTTCTATGCTTCCCCACAGAAAAATGACTTCTGATGGAGAAGCACAGGGAAGCTGCAAGAGCAGTCATGCACTCCTCCCTGGCAGCATACGCAGGTCGGTTTGGGCTCCTGAAGTGGGGGGAAGAGCAGCTGAGCAGTCATGCGTGTCAGAGAGACATTCTCTCCCTCGCTCGCTATTGTGGCCCATTTGGCATGGAGGGACAGAGTTTCAGGGTGTTTCTGAGGAGTTAGGCATGGGGCAGGCTCTGTCCCTTCAGGCAGAGCAGAACGTAGCAGCCTGTCGTCTTAGTCAGTTGTTCCCATTGTCTTTGTGAATTCCCCCAGGAGTATAAAACAGGTGTCAAAGTTTTAAGGCTCCTTTACATTACCAGAGTGGTGTAAAGGACAGTATGACCTTATAAATGCTTATGGTGCTTTAATGATTTGAACTGGTCTACATTTTTGGACTGAAAAAGTTTCCTATCAAAATATGCTCCATGAACTGTTTGCTACTAACCATTCTGGAGATGGTCAGTAGCCAATATAAATTATGAGTTGATTCCCCAGCTCCCTTATTGCTCAGTTTCGTATGATTAAGGCTGTGAGTTTGTCATGGAGGTCACAGATTCTGGGACTTTCTGTGACTTCTGCAGCAGCTGGTGAGCTTGGCCCTGGGGCAGCCCCTGGGCAAGTTGCACAGGCTGCTGCTGGGGTAGTCTCGGGTCACCGTGCTCCCCAGCAGCAGGAGTTTGGGTGTAGGAGAGAGTAGGGGGTTGGGTCATGAGACAGGGTGAGGGATCTGGGTAGCACTTACCCTGAAGCAGAAACATCCTCCTCCCGACCAATAAGAGCTGTGGAGGCAGTGCTCGGGGCGGAGACAGCGTGCAGAGCTGCCTGGCCATGCCTCCACTGAGGAGCTGAAGGAGGGGGCTGTTGCTGCTTCCAGGGAGGCACGGAGCCAGGTAGGGAGCCTGCCAGCTGTGCCACCTCCCCAGCGGTGGTCCTGGGCTACGCAACTCCAGGCCACCCCCGTGCCAGCAGCCACAGCGCCCCTGTGCTGCTGCCCCGAGTACCCCCAAGATTTAGTCAGAGGTATATAGTACAAGTCATGAACAGGTCATGGGCCATGAATTTTTGTTTACTGCCCATGACCTGTCCATGACTTTTACTAAAAATACCCATGACTAAAACGTAGCCTTACCTATGATGTAATACTGAGCATATGGCTGCATATATTTGTTGACTAATAACTAGAAATAAAGAATCAAACCTAGCTACATTACTATTAGGCAAGGGGGTTGGGGGATTTCCTCCAATGTTCTCCACTCCCATTCTCCACCCATTATATTGTAGTTTAAATAAATTACCTAAATAATTGAAACCAGCATGATTATATTGCATTATTTTGACAATTAAAATATGCAGAATTTTAAAATATTGTGCATAGAATTTTTAATTTTTTGGCACAGAATTCCCCCAGGAGTATGTAATGGTGTATATAGTTTAATAACAATACATCTACATTGTGCCTTTCATCATGATTGATCCTAAAGTGAATTACAAACGTGGACATGAATCGGGTCACCCATCACAGATATGTAGTCACCTCCTGAGCGGAATAGAAAAGCTGTTTAACACCACTTGGCAACCCATGAAGTGAATAATAATATATTCAATTGAAGCTACTAGTACATTCTAACACCAGTCAGTCTTTATGTAGCTATAACATCATCATGCAGAAAGATGAATGCCTGTGACTTCAAACACAGCAGAATAAACAAGTATGTGCGTTTTTTATTACATTAAGCAAAGATGCCAAACTTTCATTTTCCGTAGATAACCAGCCTGATATTGATTCTAGCAGAATCCAGTTCCTTAGGTGCTTTGAATGTAACCTGCAAAGAGAAAGAAATTGCTTGTAAGAGCATAATCAATCATCTTCTTCTGCCTGGAAGATTTGTTTCAAAAAGGGTCATGTTCTGCTTGTTTTTTTACATTACAAATATCAGTTAAGGATGTCATGGTCAATCTTTTCTAGTTTTGCTGAGGGCTTCTTGGGCATACGAGATTGTGGACCAAGAGATTTCTCAGTCTTTGAATATTTAACGGATACTTTTTTCTGCCCCAAGTATATTGTTAGGTGTTAGAGTTGAATGTATTAACAAAACCAAAGTTTTAAAAAGCCTGAATCAGAGTCACTGCCTCTCTCAGTTAATCAGCTTTCATTTGCATGATAACTCTATCATATATCTACAATTTCTCCTGTTGTCCAGAGAGTCTTTCAGGATAAGCACATTGGACACAATCAGAATCTCCAATGCAGCGGTTCTCAAACTGTGGGTCGGGACCCCATTTTAATGGGGTTGCTAGGGCTGGCTTAGACTTGCTGGGGCCCGGGCCAGAGCCAAAGCCCATTCCCCGCTGCCCAGGGCTGAAGCTGAAGCCTGAGCACCACCGTATAGCACCACCTCAGCCCTGGGCAGCAGGGCTCAGGTTACAGCAGGGGTCAGCAACCTGCGGCATGCGTGCCAAGGTGGCACACAAGTCGATTTTTACTGGCACGCTGCTGGCAGGCAGCAGGCTGAGCGGGGCCGGCGGCCAGGACCCCGGCTGGCAGGAGCAGGTGGATGGAACCCCAGACGGGCGGCAGGCTGAGCCGCTCAGCCTGCCGCCGGTCTGGGTTTCTGTCCACCGGCCTCACTCAGCCCGCTGACGGTCTAGAGTTCTGGCCGCCAGCCCCTTGCCAGCCGGGGTCCCAGCCGCTGGCCCCGCTCAGTGCGCTGCCGGCCTGAGTGAACAGAACCCCTGGCCAGCAGCGGACTGAGCGGGGCCGGCAGCCGGGACCCCGGCTGGCAGGAGTCAACAGAACCCCAGACTGGCAGCGGGTGAGCCGCTGCTGGTCTGGGGTCCTGACCGCCACCCAGCTCAGTCCGCTGGCAGTCTGGGGTTCTGGCCGCCAGCCCCTTGCCAGCTGGGGTCCCGGCCATCTGCCCCGCTCAGCCTGCTGCTGGCCTGGGATACCAGTCACCAGCCCCGCTCACCTCACTGCTGGTCTGGGGTTCCAGCCGCCCGGCACCCTGCCAGCCGGGGTCCGAGCCTCTGGCCTTGCTCAGCCCTCCTGCCTGCTTGGGGTACCAGCAGCCAGCCGAGCGCTCTGCAGCCCTTATCAAAAATTACACTACAATTAGCTTAAAAACTTGAAAACTTAAAAACGTATATTACAGTAATCGTTAAAAAATGTATAATGTTAATAAATACATAGGTTTGATGAAACAAAGTGGTTGTACTTATGTGCCTGTGCTTAATTTGTGTTTTCGATGATTTACCTTCTAAAAAAAATCTCACTGTCTCGCACCCCCAAGGGTGCGTGCACCCTAGGTTAAGAACCACTGCACTAAAGTGATAAGATCTGCATTTTAATTTAATTTTAAATGAAGCTTCTTAAACATTTTTAAAACCTTGTTTACCTTACATACAACAATAGTTTAGTTCTATAATATAGACTTACAGAGAGAGACCTTCTAAAAATGTTAAAATGTATTACCGGTGCACGAAACCTTAAGTTAGAGTGAATAAATGAAGACTCGGCACACAACTTCTGAAAGGTTGCCGACCCCTGGGTTACAGGCTCCCTGCTGGGGTTGAAGCCCTTGGGCTTCGTCTTTGGCCTTCCTGCTCAGGGTAGCGGGGATCAGGGGTTGGCTCAGGCTTCAGTCCTCCCTCCTGGGGTCCTGAAGTAATTTTTGTTGTCAGAAGGGGGTCGCGGTGCAATGAAGTTTGAGAACCCCTGCTCTATGTAACAAGCAGCCCTCCTCTCCCAATGCCCTTTTTTGAGGAAAAAAACAAACCAACCCATTCAGACTTTTGTTTTGCATCATTACAAAGCAAAATAATGGAATAAGCTGAATTTTCAATTTTGGATATTTAAAAGGACAAGCATTTGTGGTATGTGAAGAAGACATAGTTGTCATCCTAAACATTGTGTCCTTCTCAACCAGATACAAATGTTTTCAAGGACAGAACTGGTATGTAGTACAATACTTCGGACGTTGGGAAGCAGTATTTGCCAAATCCTGCAAATATTGAAGCCAGTGGGAATTTGCTTGGATGAGAGCAGGATAGGAGCCATATTCTGCAAGGCTAAAATTCAACAAAATGTAGAGGAACCACACATGGCCCTACATACTACTTAAGGTCCCTTCAGTCTTGCATCAAGGGCTCCACATATGTGCAAGAGGTC